TATTCAATGTTTCGTCAACGAAGCAGCCGCACCCTGAGGGGACGCAAATGAATTTAGGACCTGTGGGCCCCTCCCGTGTTCTAATTTCGCGCATCGCGCTCCTCGACGCGCAGTTACCTTCGCGCGCCCCAGCGCCGCGACGCTCGATGGCGGGCGCTGCTCTGGCACAGGCTGCGGCGACCGAAGCGAGATTATCCTCGCGCTTCTGGGGGTGGCCTAGAATGCGTCCTCACTCCCCTCTCTCTATTTATCTCTCTCTTTCTCTCCTCATGTTCGTTCTCATTTCGTTTTGCCTACGCGGTCTAGCTAAACTGTCATTTTTGTTGCCGTTTCGCCAAAGCCTACTCCTCCTGCGGCCGACTGAGCAACCATAGAGAGCCCCGCCACTGAATTGAAGGATACGCCGCCGAATTTGAGGCTAGAAAATGTCAATTTGCTCTCCTCGGCCCTCTCCTCGCGGGCGCCTCCACTGCTAGGCCCTCTTGCTTGCTTGCGCCCCTTGCCTGCTCCACTGCTAATGGCGTTTCCCCCCGTCGTCGCCCTCCTCATCTTCCCTCGATGCGCCATCTTAGCCTGGGAACCTCCACTGGGGGTCAGCGGCCGAAAGACCGAGCAGCCCGATTCCGAGGGGGTCCGAAGGCGCTGCCCCCTTGACCGCCCGCGGCCGCCAGGGGTGCGGGGGCACTGAGTCGGAGAGCGATATCGCTCTCCGACTCAGTCGGAGCAGGCGCGGAGGTCAGAAGAGGATGCCCACGGTAACGAGCACGAGGATGTGGACGAGGATGGGGCACACGACGACGACCACCACGATTGGAACGACATATGATCAAGGAGGTGCGAGGGGACGCGGGAGAAGTAGGGGAGGAGGGACAAGGGCCAGCGGAGACGCGCGAAGGACGGCGGGGGCAGGGTTGGGAGATGCGCCCGTGGGACTCGCGGCCCTCACCGGAGAGAGAGAGGGCGGAGTGGGATCGGCAAGTGTGCGAAGGTTTCGCCTTCTTTGCCCCGACCCCCACCCACCACCCCCATCTCCACTCGCACATTTGGAATCATTTAGAGAACCCGCATGCCTGTCAACGAGATGGCACAGCAAGTGGGCCTTCGGAGTGAACGCGATCCCCGCTATCTTGGCACATTTCAGATGCATCGCCACTTGTATTTTCATCTCTCGTTGGCCTTCCCTGGAAACGATATTCGGCTCCTTTCTCATGAGATACATCAGGTTCTGCAGCGCAACGCCAGAACTAATCAAATGTCGCCCAAATCGGCCTTCACCCCCGTGAGTAATGAGTTCGTGAACGACGAAGTCGAGTAAAACAGAGGCCTCTGCTGCTTTGGTGCTGATGTGCCCCCCAGGATGCTGCCAGTTCTGGACATGCGATTGGTTTTTCCAACAATGCAAACGATGCCGTCTCAACCCTTTGGGCACGCATTCCTTGGTGGATCCTGCCGTGGCAACGAGACGCCCCTCTACGATTCCAAAGGTTCCTCCCTCTCCGTTCGCTTCTCCTCCCACCTCGTCATCTCATCGTCATCCCATCTCATCATTCCACCATCCGTACCAAAAAAATAAAAAGCTCACCTGGTGGTCACAGGATCGCCTTTTGCCCAGCATCTTCAAGGTGATCATGGCGACGCGGCTCGCGTGAGGAACTGGTGGCGTGCAGGACCTCTGCCACGTCGCCAATTCTGCCGACAACTGCTTTACTGCCAGATCTGTCACCGCCGCCGCTGCGTTGGCTCTGAACCCCCAGGGGTTGCTGAGGACGAGCCGCCACAGGCGCGCAGCCACGTAGCGCTGCATCACGCCTAAGTGGATATCGCGCATGGCGTCAACAGCTAGATTGTGCACGGGGTTGGTGCCGATGCGCGCGTCGAACAATGGGCACCTGTGGTTCAGGCAGTCCAGGGGCAGGTTTGTAGGCGGAGATCCGAGGCGCTGTCGCCAGAAGACGATTCGCATTGGAAGCGGCATTCGCTGCACGGCTCCAACATCTGGGGTATGTTCGCTCGGCTCCATCCTGTCCCCTTTGAGCAGCTGCGCCCCGTTCACCTCGACGGCGTCGGTGACGATGCGGCCGCCTAGGCCTTTTGACGGCTGCGACCATTTGACTGCTGCCAGTAGTTTCTTCCGCTGCGCCTCCGAAGTCACCGGCACCTCTTGCTCGCACTTCTGTGCTGCCCTGTCGTAGTCCCCTGGCGCTCGAAGCAGCCACGATGGGCCATCGGGCGTTGCCAATTCGTCAAACCACTGGTGGAGCTCGGAATGTTCTGACTCGCAGAATTGACAGCAGTTGTGGCTCTGGGCCCACGACGAGAGCCCAAGAGTGCGAGCGTGCTCGCACCAGTCCCCCTTGACGAACACCAGCGCCGCCCTGTAGGAAGCGGGCTGGTGTTTGCCGACGCTGGCAAAGGCGAACCGTTCGCCGACGTAGTCGGCCTCTCGCCATCAGCCATGGAGATGAATTGGCGTCGGACTTCAGACAGCAAAGGAAATGCCGAACACCACCCCCTGCAGCCGCAGGCGCATTCCTCTGAATGTCTGAGCGAAGAAAGAAGGTGTCTCTTGTTGCTAAAGAGATTCACCAGCCAGATACCAGTCACTGAGTCCTGCCGGCCAGAGGCAGATTGATGGTAAGTTACGCCGTCAATGTAGATGCCACATGGGATCGGTTTTGGCCCCCCCCTCGCGCTGTGCCTTTTTCCACGATGGGGTGCGTTGTATATACAGGGGCATCGAGAACGCATTTCTCTCTGGTGTTTGGGTCGGCGTTGAGCTGTTCTAAGATCGTGTTGTCATTGTTAATTTCATCCTCCAGGCACTCTCGCGCCATCCTGACAGGCACTTCCCTTACTACTCTGGCGCCGCCTCTCCGTTCAGTCATGGGGGCCTCGACCATGTCCAAGTGAGTTGGTTCTGGAGGCACTTGGTCGAGGTGCCGTCGGTACTTGCCAGGCTGTCTCCCCAATGGCATTGCATAAATATCGAATGCCGCCCCTGGAACCTTGGCATCCACGCAGTTCTGGCAAATCGTGCAGAGATGTTTTGCTGACAGTCTGCACGTCGAATATAAGTGCAGAAGAGAATGAAGCAGTTCCGCCCCAGCCTTGCGTTGCTCTAACGTCGAGCTAGTCAAGCCCTGTCGGCGCGGGCTCCTGGTCCGAGTGGCATGCGGCGCTGGCGGTGGCTGCGCTGGCGGTGGCATCCGATCGACATGTGGATGCGGGGTTTTGCACAACAAGCTGCATGGCTACAGTAAGCCACAATGGTGACGGAATCAAACAGATCATTACCGTCACCAACATCGTAATCATCACGCCCCTCCTCTGCCTCCCCTTATTCCGATTCGGCTGCTCACTTACAAGGCTTCTGTGTTTCCTCAATTGATGGAGTTCGTCGCCACAGCCAGATTCGCTTCTCCTACTCGGACGGTTTGGGATGCTGCAGACAATGGCTCAGTCGTTGTGGTTGCCTCCCTCGTTCTTGTCCTCGGGATGGCCAGTCTTGCATTCGCCGTTGCCCTGGGAGATCTTGCTTTCAGAAACTTTGCTTTTAGAGTGTTTGTCATTAGAGCTCGTGCCATGAATGACTGCGAGACTTAAAAGTCTTGCAATCATTCGTGTTCTTGCCACTGCTTCCGACGGCGTAGAGGGATTGTGGTCCGAGCGGGGTCTCTCTCCAGTGGCCACTATCATAGGCTCTTTGACAATAGGCAAGTGTGTTTCGATGCGCGGGACTGTTATTGGGGCTCTTAGGGGCATCCTGTCATTGGGGCTCTTGGGGGCGCCCTCGTGCCGTTCTTGGGGGAAGTGGTTCACGGCGTCGGGCACTGAGCGGGCAACAAGACTCAACTAGCTCGCCAGACCAATGCAAGGAGGCGCGGGGAGGCATCAGGACGACGACGACTCCCTAACATTCTAGCACACCGCATGAGCCCCGAGCACAACAGCTCTCTCTTTCTCAACAGGTCTACAGGGGGATGGGAAGAATGTTTGGTGGGGGAGGGGAAGGGGGGAGAAGCAGAAGGAAGAACGTGGGGTTGCGAGGGCAGATGAAGGGGGAGTAAGCGGGGGGAGCTAAGCGGGGCAGGCAGGGGAGGAGTTGGCGGAGAGGTGGAGGAGGAGGAGGCACCTGGGCAACAATTGACTCGAAGCGTGAATACATCCTGTAGTCAACAACTTACTGACTGTAGCTCTGGGCAAAATCGCCACCGTGAGCGACCGCGAACGGCAACTTACCGACGTTGCCTTGTCGCGCCAGGTGCGCGCGGATGGCGATGGGCATCGCCGAGCTGAGCGCGCGCACTGTCGGGCAACAGAACTGAAGAGAGATAAGGTCGGTGCAGTGCGTGCGATCGCCTGCCATCTCTGAATGAGAAGTTTCTGCTTCTCGCCGCCCCTGTGTTGGCGAGATGCTGAAATGTCAATCGCAATTTGAAATGAAATAATGGAGTTACGAGGGCCGATCGCACGCGCGAACTCATCACAAACTCGAGAAGAGAAGCTGCCAAGGCACGCGACAGTAGCGAGCAACTGCGAACGTGATGAGCCAGAACTGCCCACAGCCTCCTCAACCTGAAATTCTGATGAATTTCTTAATCCCGACACATTCAACGGTACTTCAACGGTAATTCACCGGCGCCTCTTGGAGGCCAAATTCGGGATTCAACGGTACTTCAACGGTGCATTGTATGTTTTTTTTTTTTTCTCAGGTTTCGGGCACATTCAACGGGACTTCAACGGTAGTTCAACGGCGGCAGTTTCAACGGTGCTTCAACGGTAATTCAACGGTGAGTTTGGCTGCGTTTTCACCCTTCGGATGGGACATCCCCGGCCAGAGCACATTCGAAATCGTCTGGCGTGTCCCTCGGGCTTCTGGGCGCGAAAAGATGCTGAAAATGCGAGGGCCCGTGCTCGCAGCAACGGCCGCTCGCGATTCACACCACAATGTCGGCGGCCGCTCTCCCCGTCAGCGCCCGCGGCACGGGCGCCGCGCGAAATCAGGCGGCTCGGGCCTTGGCGGCCTTGCCCCTGGCCTTCTTCTGCGGCTCGGGCCCCCCCTCGAGCATCTGGTTCTCGGCCTCTCGGCGAAGGGCGAAACGTCGATCCATCTGTTCCTACTCCAAGTGTCTCTTCCTCCTCCTCCCCCTCCCCCCCCTCCCCCCCCCCCCCCTCCTCCACCGCCCACCCTCCTCCATCTCCTCCTCCTCATCCTCCTCCTTCTCCCCCTCTATCTCCTCCACCGTCTGTTCTTCCGACCGCCCTCCTCCCATCGTCGCGCTCTCCCAACGAGCCTGGCGCCGCACCTGCAGGAAGCCCATGGCGAGCTTGCTCTGCATCTCGATCTGGTCGAGCGGCCCCTTCAGCTTGGCCATGGCGCGCAGGGCGACAGGGAACTCCAACTCGCCGAGCTCCTTCTTGAGAGCGGGGAAGTCCCTGGTCAGCACCTTGATGATCAACGGGTGCGTGTCGACAACGTTCTGGAGGTCATCGTTCAGCTGGATGAGCTTCTTGTGGTCAGTAGAGTCCTTGCACCGCGCCCAGTCCTGATTGTTCTCCATAGACTTCACCAGCGTGTTAGACTGCAGCTGGATCTGCTGGTAGCGGTTCATCATCTTCTTGGCGTTGTTGATGGCATCCGTGAGCTCCGACTTCGTCGAGCGCCCGCCGCGGCCGTCACCGCCTCTCAAGCGCTTGGAGTCGACCTCGCCACCGCCGCCAGGAGCATCCGCGCCGCGGGCCCTCCTCTCCCCCGTCGGCGGCTGCGCTGTCCCCGCGCCCCCGCCGCCCAGCGGAGCCGAGGCCTTCGGGCGGTTGCGAGCTTTAGTTCGGTGCAACCTACTCCACCTTCATCCTCATTATTCCTCCTCTTCCTTCTCTTCTCCCTCCCCCCCCCTCTCCCTCCCCCTCATCGTCGTCGACCTCCTGGTCGCTCTCATCTCCTCGTCCTTCTGCGCCTTCCTCCGCTTGCCTCCTCCTTCTCGTCCTCCGCCTGCCTCCTCGTTCTCCCTGCCATCCCCGTTCTCACTAGTGCCTCGGCGCCCGCGCCAGGCTGCGCCGCCGCCGAGGCGCCCGCGCCGGGCTGCTGGCCAGGCGCCCCGCCCGCCGCCGCCGCCGCCAGCGGCGCTGGGGCTGCTGCCGCCGCCGCCGCCGCAGTGCGGGGGACTGCGCTGGGCGACGGCGTCTGGCGTTTCCGTCCACTCCCCGTGGGCCCGCCAGCACTTTGAGACGGTCTCCGGCGAGCCTGGCGGATTCGACGTTGAAATCGATTCGTTCTAACGTCGGTCTGAATCGATCGGACTCGGCTTCGATTCGCTCGGAGCCGCTTCGACCGACATCGCAGTCGATCTAATCGTGCGTGACAGATGGCCTTGCGTAACGTAGAGCGCGCGCAGCACCTCGGTCGCGGGGTGGTACTGCACCCACGGGGGCCCCATCGCCATGCACTTGAACATGTACCGCGATGCCTGGGGGATGCGACGATCACAAGGGGGCGACGAGGAGAGGAGGAGGAGGAAGAGCAGCATCAGCAGAAGGAGAGTGGGAGGAGGAGGAGGAGGTGGAGGAGGAGGAGAAGAAGGAGGAAAGGAGGAGGGGGGGAGGCGAGGGGGAAGAGGAGGAGGAGGAGGCGGATGGAGGAGAAGGAGGAGGGAGGCGGAGGAGGAGGAGGAGAAGGAGGAGGACGAGGAGGAGGATCTGATTTTTTTTCGGGGGGCGAAGTTGGAAGGAAGGACGATCCAAGGGGAGGGGAGGGGGGGGGGGGGGGGGGGGGGGGGGGGGATATCGAGAGGGAATCGGTGGGAGGCAGGATGGCAGCAGGCCAGTTTTGACCCTGGTCACCTGCACCCAGCCCTGCTTGCCCCCGCCCTCCTTGTGGGCGATGCGCCCGATCGGAAGATATGCGCACTTTTTTTCCAATGCGTGCGTTGCTCCTCCGTGATGGCGACGTGCGTGGCGCAGGCTTTCTTCCACTCCTTATTCGCCCATTCCATCCTGGAGAGATTCTCGTGGAAATCGACGCCCACATCAAGCGGGCCCCTGCCGAGAAGCGAACTCTCGGCTGGGGCTTCACATGATGTAGGCGTCATTTCCAGAGCATCTCGCCTGAATAACTTCTTCGCCTCGGAGCCGCGCGTGGCCTCGTGCTCCTTCTTGAGCTCTGGCCTGCTGGCGACGGCTCGATCCCATCGACCAGCGACGGGGTTGCCCGCCTTGCCCCCCGTCGTCACCGAGAAGTTGTTCTTGCGAATGCCTTCTGGGATGGGTGTATAGTGTTTATCCTCCTCCTCCTCCTCCTCCCCCTCCTCCTCCTCCTCCTCCTCATCATCATCATCATCATCATCATCATCATCATCCTTCTTTTCCTCAATCTTCCTTCCCTCCTCCTCCTCCTTCTCCTCTTCCTTCCTTCCTCCCCCTCCTCCTCCTCCTCCTCCCCCTCCTCCTCCTCCTCCTCCTCCTCCTCCTCCTCATCGTACTCTCCTGAATCCAACTCCGACTCCTCCGTCGCGGGTGCCTTCCCAGGACTCGTATTCTTTCTGCTCCTTGGGCGACCGCTTCTCCGACTGGGCCATGCAGAGCTGGGGGTCCTGGGGCCAGCCCTCGGCGCCCAAGAGGTCGCGCCCCTTCTGCTGGATCATACCCGCGACGCTCTCGGAGTTCATGATCTTGACGAGCAGCTCGGAGAGGTTGCAATTCTGGTCGTCGGAGAAAGGGTTCTTCTCGAGCGAATCCTCGGGTCCGGCGAGGGAAGCTCGTGCCCGAGCTTGAGTTCAACGCTGATTCAACGCTGGCTGGGGGGGGCGAGCATCCCACCAAGCCAGCGTTGAATCAGCGTTGAACTCAAGACGGCCGAGCGTTGAATTTAGACCAGTCGAGCGTTGAATTTGCGTTGAAGCCAGCGCAGGGTCCGAGGCCCAACGCCGAATTCAACGCCGAATTCAACGCAAATGACTGAAAATTCAACGCATGGCCGTGGTTACTTTCAGTGCAAATTCTGTCCATGAACGAGCTCTGCAACTCGTTGATCTGCTGCTGCATCATCTGCTTCTTGGTCTTGGGCGGCGTCTCCATCTCACCGCAGCTCGGTCCTGCAGCAAGCTCGCTGGCGGGCTGGGCCGCGGGCTGAGCGGCGGGCTCGGCAGCGGGCTCGGCAGCGGGCTTGGCCTCCTTCGCACCCTCAGGATGAACGTCGGCCCCAGCAGCGCCGGCGGAAGTACCCTGACGCGGGGCAGATCTTCATCCTCCCCCTCCTTCCCTTCCTATCCCCTCTTCCTGGGAGTCCGTCTCGCCCGCCGATCGCGCGGGCGAGATGGACAAGGGCGACAACGTCGGCCTTCGGACGATCCAGCGCAATGAGGCCGGGCGGGGCAGGGGCTGGGGATCAGGCGCGAGATAGGTTTGATTTCAGAAGGAGGAGAGATGTGGCCAATGGGAGAAACGAGAGAGCCAGTCGAAGGATAGCCGCCTTCAGTGAGCCAGCACACAGTTCATTCTCGACGTGAGCGTCGGGCATGTCTTCTTCAAGGATCCTCATGTGCCTCCTCGCATCTTCCACCCCTCTCCCCAATGCTCTTGCTCCCTCGCCCCCTCCTCATCCTCTCATCGCTCCTCGTCGGAGTCTCGGGGGTCCGGGAAAGCCGATGCCCGCCCCGAGGCCAATCCGCCAATCGTGTCTTCGCGCCAGGTCGAGGCGTAGCTGGGCAGATTAAAACTATACGACGGAGACACAATACTATACGACAGAACCACTCGGCCTCCCCGAATCACTGGCTCATTCCTCCTCCTCCTCCTCCTCCTCCTCCTCATCCTCATCTTCCTGACCTTCACCCCTCTCCATCTCCTTCCTCATCCTCCTCCTCCTCCTCCTCCTCATCCTCCCCCCGATCCCCCTCCTATCCTGCTCATCCTCTCCTCCTTCCCATGGGCCTGCGCTGGAGCGGACGACCGCGCTGGAGGCCGCGGCGGGCCGGCTTGACTGGCATCGTCCGCCTGCCGCTGCTGCTGCTGCTGCTGCTGCTGCTGCTGGGGCTGCCGGGGCTGGGGCTGCGGCGGCGGCGCAGCGCCAGCGGCTGCGTCGCCCCGCGGGAGGCCGCTGGCAACTCCTGGGGAGTTCGAGCGCCGTTCCGGCGACGGCGAGACCTTGCCGCGACCCCCGACGTCGTGCTTGCTCCTCTCCAGCGCTGCCTCCAGGTCCACGTCATCTTTGGACTGCACGAGCTGCGACGCAGCGAGGGCGCGGCCCAACTCTGGGTCATCCCTGCCTGGGGCGGAAGAACTCTGAAGCGGCGTGCGCGGACGCTGGCTCTGGCTCTCCACGACCGTCGGCTCCGCAGCGCCGCGCTCGCCACGCTCCTGCACCTGCGCAGCGGACTTCTCTCGGCGCCGCCGACCCTGACCCCCTCGACGCAATCCCTTCGGGGGGCTGCGACTCCGTCGCTTGCGACGGGGTCGCGGCCTCCAATCGATGGCGCCAAAGGGGATCCGAGTCGACACGTTGCGAGAGGAATCCGCGGACCTCGTCGCCGTTGCCCTTGCTAGTCAAGCCGACGAGGATGACGTCCGGCGAGCTCGGCCCCTCCACCTCCGCCGCGACGGCTGCAGCTGCCCCCTGCGAGTCCAAGATGGGCTGCGAGAGAGGTTGGCGAGCCGCCTCCGCGCCCTCCGAGACCGCCCGGGTCTCGCGGGGCACCGCCCGCGGCGCAGGGAAGCGGCCGAGGTCGGTGGGCACCATGGCCTCGGCGAGGGCGCCACGGATCGCCGAAGTTGTTGCGCCTGAACAGGCCTCGGACTTTTGAGCCTGATTGCAGCGGGCACCCGAAGACGGGCAGGCCCCTGACGCGCGACCTGAAGGATGGGCCCGAGAGGAGGTGGTCGAGGATATGGGGCGGCAGGTTGAGGCGGGAGGAGGAAGTTGAGAAAGGCAGGGAGTTGGCCCAGTGGAAGGAGGAATGTCAGGAATATGTGTCAGGAATATCTCAGACATCGCTTACAGGGGAGTGTTAGACAAGCAGCCTCTGCAGGTCGTGACGCTCTACTCCTCGACCTCCTCTCCTCTATAGCTATCAGTTCTCCAACCCTCCCACATCCTTCCATAGGCCGCCTGACTTCGCGGATATCGCACCGCGATGGGTGACGCAGGGACACCTTCGCGCCCTCGCGGCATTGGTGTTGCTCCTCCGCGGGAGGCGGCGCCAGCTCTGGCACGTGCTGCCGCGCGCGAAACGCTGCTATCTTCGCGCCCCTGGTGGTCTCCTGGGTCCGAGGACTCCCCTTTCTTTTCTCTTCCGTGGTTTGGCTCGCTTGCTCGTGAACAGTCGAGCGCCCCTTCAGTCCTTCGGTCCGTTCGGGCAGACCGATGCGGCGAGACGAGTAAGAGGGGATCAGCGGCGGCTGGGGCAGAGAGGCGAACGAGCGGGCGGGCAGGTGGGACATCGAGGAGGGCGACGTCTTCCATCCTTTTGGCTGTCGCCCCTCCGCTTGGCACGTGCCCCTGCCAAGCTTGACTGCTCTCGATCCGAGCTGCTCGTTGCGCGTCGGGCCACCCCGATCGACTCGGTGAAAGCAAAGTCTATAAATCTCGGGCACGGGCTGCGCGCGCGCACAAGAAAGAACGGGCTTGTTGGCTGAGCCGATCGTCGTGCACTTGCTGCATGTCCCGTGCTATCCTGTGTTTGCTGCCCCCATTCGCTTGTCTCTGCTGATCGCCTTTGCTGACTGCTTCTGTCCGATCGCTCGTCCTCCTTTTTCCGTTCCGTCCGCATCTCGATATGTCTTGATATGTCTCCTCCCTGCCCCGACGCTCTCCTCCCCCCGCATGCCTCCCTCGCCTGTGCCCCCCCTCTCCCCCCCTTCCCCATGCCACCCGCTCCTCCTCTCCTCCTCCTCGCCATCACTCGAGTGCACGTCGCTCGACCTGATTAAAAGTCGTCGAACAACCCTGCAGGGATCGCAATCCCTCTGGGCGACCCGAGCTCCTCGGAGCTCTTGCCCCTGCGAAGCGAAGCTTCAGCCAGGCGCTGGCCGCGCTCCCTCGGGGCCCTCTTATGCGTGCCATCGGTGGGGATGGCGGCCTTCTCGTGCTCAGCGATGTTGCTCTTGATCTCACTGGCGGCGGTGGCATGGCTCGCCGGCGAAGCTGCCTCAGCAGCCGCTGCGGGGCGCGTCGTCCTCGCCGCCTTCGGGGCAGTGACGGGCTTGGTCGACGAAGGCCTCTTCCGAGGCGTAGTGCGGCGGTCCTCGACGACGGGCGACTCGCTGTGCTCCGCGGCCTCGCTGCTCTCGTGCTGGTCGCTGTCCTCGTCATCCTGCTGCTCACCGCCCTCGCCCTCCTCGGTCTCGAGCGCGTCGTCGTTGCCGCTCCCCTGGGGATGGCTGGCGCGTCAACTCGCTGCCCCCATTCCCTGCCTCGATGCCTCCCCTGACCCCCTCCGCCTGCGGAGGGGGTAAAACGGGCACTCGAGGCGAGGGGGTGGCTGCGAATGGATTCCACCATGCGTCCTTCGGCAACTCGGAGGCGCTCTCCTGCGGATTGCCCTCGTCGGCCTTGCCGCGGGCCCCCCTTAAGACTGGAGGAGAGCCCTTCTTGTTCCACTGCAAGTGCTGCTTCTTCTTGTCCTCGATCATCTGCTTGTCATACGCGCCGCTGCTGTGCAACCTCATCATCTCCTTCAGGAAGCCGATGCCGACGTGCATGTCGTGGTACCCGCGCATCTGCATCAGCTGCTTCTGCTTGTTCTCCTCGCCCCTGCGCCAGACCGTGAGCCACTGGTCCGTCCCCTTGTTCACGATGGTGCCCCAGAGGCGCCTGCCAGCTGGGCGCTTGCTCTCCGCGAAGACGCAGCTGTCCCTCCCGCGTTCCTCTGAGGAGGGGCAGTCAATGCGCGCGGCGGCCACGCCGTCTCGACCCCTTCCCCCGTCGCTCCAGGAGCGCAGGGGAAGAGGAGTTCTGACTTGAAGAGGTGGGCCACCCGAATTCGACTAGAGGGAAATGCAGGACCTCAAGGACAAGGGAAGACCAGGGTCGAGGATGAGAGGAGCGTCGAAACAAAGAGAATGTGTCCTGCAGCGCGGCAGAGTCCGCCCCCGGCACGCGCCACTTCGCGCCGTCGGGCCAGCGCGCGACGAGCTCCTTCACGTCGGGATCCGAGCCCACCGCCGTGTACTCTGCCACGGCCACCTTGGCGTCGGCAACCACGCGGTAAGCAGCCTCAGGCTGTGTTGCTTGTTTGCGTGCGTGCGTGCTCTGTCTAGGGTATGTGCTGCGTTTGCCCTCCTCCGCCTCCTCCTCCTGCTCCTCCTCCTGCCCCTCCTGCTCCTCCTCATCATCATCATTATCCTCCTCCTCCTCCTCCTCCTCCTCCTCCTCCTCCTCTCCCCGCCCTCCCCATCCTATCCTCCTGCCAGCGCTTGCAGCCTGGAGCCTCTCGTCGTAGCCGTGCTTGAAGCCGCCCGCCGCCTCCAAGTACTCGAGCTCCTTCGTCTTGGTGCCGAGGGCCTTCGCCTTGCGCGACGGCGCCGCCTTGGGCTCGGCGGCGGGCTCCGCGGCGGGCTCGGCGGCGGGCTCCGCGGCGGGCTCGGCGGCGGGCTCGGCGGCGGGCTCCGCGGCCTCCGACGCGGAGTCGTCGTCTCCGGCGGCGTCGGCGGCGGCGAACTTCGCCAGCTGCGCCTCGGTGTTGGCGAAGATCCTGGCCCACTTCGGCGGCTTCCTGAAGCGGCTGTTTCATTCGCCGCTGCCACCTACCGCCACCTTTTGTTCTCCAAAAGCAAAACCTCTTATCGCCCTCCTCATCCTCAGCCCCCCCCTTCCTTCCCTTCCCGCCCGTCCCTGCATCCACTCCCATCTTCCATCTCCCTCGCCACCCCCGCCTACCAATCATCCTTCCCCGTCGTCGTTTTAGCCCGCGCGGTCGTTTGCCAGAGAGCGACGGCGATCCACCGCATCATGGCCCTGACGGACACCGCTGCGTGCGTCGCCCACTCGGCCCCCTCGCACGAGAGGTGCCACGTGTTCTCGTTCTGGCCAGCGATGCCCAGCATCGCAGCCTCTAGGGCAAGTCCCACATTCCGACCTCTCCCTCATCCCTCCATCATTGAATGTACCTCCCTCCTTCTCCTCCTCATCCCTCCTCTTCCTTCTCCTCCTCCTCCTCCTCCTCCTCCTCCTCCTCCTCCTCCTCCTCCCCCTCCTCCTCCCCCATCCTCCTCCCCCCACTCCTTCTCCTCCCCCTCCTCCCCCTCCTCCTCCTCCACCTCCCCCCTTCCGCTCCTCTCCTCCTGCTCCTCTCCCTCCTCCTTTTCCCCCTCCACGTCTTCGTCTCTAATCCCCAGGGGTCCTTGGCGGTACTCTCGCAGATGCTGGAGCCCAGCTCGCGAGTGGCCATCAGGATGGCCCGATGCCTGATCAGAATCTCGGGGTCCCGAGGGTCCGTCGGCGAAACCTTCTCGATGGCATCTGCGCCGTGGATGTGCTTCGCCCAGACGTCGATGAGCAGCGCGGCCACAGTGCAAAGGGATGGGGGGGGGCCGGTGAGAGGATGAGGGGGGTAGCTATGTTCGTTCATGTTTCCACGGGGTTCCCAGGGAGTCCGTCGACGTCGACGTCCTCGGGGGTCGTGTGGCCCCCGACGTCAATCCCTGCAGGGGCTGCGCTCAAGGATGCCATAGTTTTACCTCCTCCGCCTCCTCCTCCTCCTTCCTCCTCGTCCTCCTCCTCCTCGTCCTCCTCCTCCTCCTGCTCCTCCTCCTCCTCCTCCCCCTCCTCCTCCTCTCCTCCTCCTCCCCCTGCCACGTCCTCATTCTTCCTCCGCGTCCTGGCCCTCCTCCTCTTCCAATTCATTGTTTCGTCCTTCTCCTTCTCACCCCCCTCGTTCTCCTCTTCTTCCTCACCCTAGTTTCGAGGAGCCAATAACCTTCCCCATGGCGGCAGCTCGCCTCCGAGCGCCGAGCGGGCGCCAAGCCCAGTCTCTGGCGGGGCCTGGGCCCTCGTTCACGGCAGCGGAAACCGCCGCAACAACGACGACGATGAGGATGCCCCACAAGAGCGATGAGAGCGATGAGAGTGATGCCACAAACTTGGCAGAAGAGGGAGGAACAAAGAGAGAGAGAGAGAGAGAGAGAGAGAGAGAGAGAGAGAGAGAGAGAGAGAGAGAGAGAGAGAGAGAGAGAGAGAGAGAGAGACCCCGATGCGGAGGAGGAGGAGTAGGAGGAGGAGGAGGGGGCGGAGGAGGAGAGGAGGAGGAGGTGGAGGAGGAGTGAGTTTTCTTTTGTTTTCCAGATTTTTGAACCAACGTAATTGGTAACAGCTATGGACACCACAACATACGAACACATTGTTGAATTCCTTCGAAATATGGCTAACATGGCGAATGATGTAATATAGCTATATATTTGGTTACATCATATCATGCGGGTATGTAACCATTCTCTGGTTACATAGGACCTCTGGGTACTGCTACTACAAGTATTAGATTCTGGCGGAAACGCCCAGTGCACGATGACGCCTGGGTCCGCCGTCTTGCCCTGCACGATGACGAACAGAACAAGCCGGCAATCGGGTGGCGAGAGATATGACGGGGACATCCAATAAGCAAAATGTGGCCCGAAGAACACGAAGTGGCCTACAGTTGGCTCCGGGCATTCAAAATGTAGCCCGGGAATGGAATTCTGGGAAGTCGAAGAGCACGAAGTGGCCTACGCTTGGCTCCGGGCATCCAAAATGTGGCACGGGAATGG